AAAATGAATTTAACCACTGATTTTACCAGCATTATATAACACTGGTAAAGTGACTACATTAATAATGCAAGCTTGCCTTCAGTATGCTTAATCTTTTACTATGAATGCCAGGGATGCCTGAAATTAACCTAACCAAGGACCCACATTGGTAACTTGGCTGGTATGTGAGGGGCTGGATTAGAGCTGGTGGGTGGGTGGGTGTGTAGAGAGAGCTATGACCAGTGGAAAATTCCCTGTGATCCACTGCAGTGCTCCATGTAGAACTGAACGTGGTCTGTAAGGGGGACTCAGACCAGTGATCAGTTAAGTGCTTCCCAGTGGGGATGGATAGAGGACACCAGGGCCCAATAAAGAAAGAGAAAGCAGGGAGGGAGTTCCCTGGGAAAAATTTGCAGAATCCCCTGGAGATGGGGAGGCAGGCCAATCTGGCTGAGGAAAAAAGCTGGGGGAGGGGTAGCGGCGTCTCCTGCGGCTAGCCCTGAGGAGGCAGGCAGGCAGCCAAAAGTGAGGAAAAAAACCCCTCCGGATTAACAGCTTGGGGAGGCCTTCAGAGGAGAAAGCCCTGTAAGGCACCACTCTGTAAGGGTGGGAAAGGGACTCCACAGGGCCCAAGTAGGGGTGAATCCTTTGCGGAGGGTTACTTTAGATTTTGGAGTCCAAGTTTGAAGAGGAGCCCAGGTGGGGCAGAAGATTGTGTTCATTATTCTTAATTTGTTGGACACTATTGGTTTGGACTTTCATTTGCACAATAGCATCCTGAAACAAGCCCAGAAGGGTGTTATTGTCATGAGAGAGTTATGGAGTCTCTGTTCAGGAGCTTTAAAGCTGGAGAGTGAGGTGGGACCCGCCAGCAGTGCCATGGATGGCTACATGAGGTGCCCTGTAGGTGCCAACTTAATTACATGTGGGACAGGGTTGTGCAGCCATAGAGCCTGCTACCCACTTATTCCAAGGGACTCCCTCACCACCACTTGGAAGCATGGTAAAGTCATAACTGTTTCCAGCCCAGCTGTCAAATGTGGCCTTTTAGAGGGGTTCAGTCTCTGAGCATGCCCCCCTGCAGCATGGTGCACCACTGCCATGCCGTCCTCAGTGTCCCTGCAGCTTGCTGGAAATAATCTACTCACAGCCACAAGTCTTGAAAACAAGACTCCACCTCTCCTGGGATCCAATTTATTCAGCATGGTCCAGCTCCCAAAAGAGCCTCCTTTTTGTTCACCCCTAGGTTTAGGGTTTCCACAGCCCTCCTTTCTGGGATTGCTTGGTTCAAGGCCTGGCCTCCACAGCCCCCAGACCCGCCCCATTAGTTCAGGGTTTCCACAGCCTTTTATCTGTGTGTTTGTCCTGGCAGAGTCCTCCTCTTAGCGAGCTCTCCCTCATTGGGCTTGGAGCCTCCTTTTTGATTTACACACCCAGTCCTCTTCCCAGGTGAGCCTAATAAACAAACACCTGTTGGGGCCAGCTGGGAGAGAGAGGAGCCTTGCCCCTCCCACTCTCCAAGGCTCCTGGGTCCAGGCCCTTAAGGGAACAATAGCCTAGCTTTTTCCTATATCTTCTCCCTCCCAGACACAAACTGTTCCCAGGGACCATCTTCCTCTCACCCAGTGTCCATTTGAATTGTTCTGGACACCTTGAATGGGGTAACTGGCCTCTCAAACTACCTCTTCTTGACTTACAGGCCTGTTCAATGCATTGCCTGACATTTCTCTACTTGAGAGTGAGGGAATTTTAAAGTGGTCATGAGTCCCAATGACACTTTGCAGATGTCACCGTGGAGATGCGGAAGGGCCATGTACTATAGTTGGTCAGAAAATAGTTATTTTTCCTGCAGAAAATTTTGACTCTTTGAAGAAAAGTAGGGTGAATATCGGGGGGGGGGGGAAGGAATAATACTTTTTGTAAACATGGGATTTTTTCAGTAAAAATCTGTTTAAACTGAAAATGAAGGGGCTTATCAATAGAGGAGGAAGAAGTCAAGAGGTTCCTAAGCTACAGGTCTCAGGAGGTACCATGGCAGCATTTTCAAATCAAAATATTTTTGATTTTCGGTGTTCAGTTTTTCCACAAAAGATCAAAACTTTTTTTAGCAAACTGACACTTCTCATGAAAAATTTCATTTTGTCAAAAACCCAATTTTCCATCAAAATGTTTTGACAGAAAATGTTCAACCCACCCTACATATACCCTGATGTAAATCTCTTCTCTGACTCTGCCCTTCCAAGTGCTGCTGTCATGGGGTGGAGGATGAGAGCAGGATGTTTCTCTCCAGACCTCGGTCATGAGAACTCTCAAAGCCCCATCAGTAGGAGCAGATGGTATGGTTCTCTGCATAGCAGCAGACCTGATGGGAGGATGCTCTCCACAGCACCCAAACTCCAGTGGGAGGGAAGAAACTAATCACTTTGTTCCCAGATAATTAAAGCAGTCACACCACAAGCTTGAGGGTTGAATAGCCTCCGCAGTGAAGAAAGAATATGGAGTTGCGACTCCCACCATTCACATATGTTGTCATCTTCTCCCCTACTCTGGCCTCTCAGTTCCACAAGTTTCTGGTATGGAATTACTCTTTTTCCTTTTGACTTGAAGAACCCAGCTAACTTCTCTTAGACGTATTGGCCTGGCACTTGCCCAGCATCTGTGGCATTCTGGGGTTAACACTCAGCAGATAGCTAATATTTTAGATTGAATAGAACACTTAGGAGTATCTCCTTGACTTTGTACAGATTGTGCAGATGCCTAGGCAAATTGAATACATAGACAACATTATTTATATAGCTACGCCACTATAAAAAGATAATGTAGGAAATAATGATGCAAGCCCATAAAAGGAAAACAAAGAAAGCAGTTTAAAAAAATAAAAACCACACACACTGAAGATTGTCTTGCAAGATGAATTTTCTTTTAAAATTTGCATGAGCTTGGTAATGGCTCATTAAGCCTGACCATTAACATTAGTTTGATGAAGCTGGTTTCTAAATTTCATTTAATCATCCAGCCTTAAAATATCTGTGGTGTAAAAGTTATCATGAGATGAGCCGGTACTTCTCTTTTTACGACTAATAATAATGGCACTTAACACTTACTGAACACAGAACTTCACAAATGTTAACTGATTAGTCCCCACAGCACTCCAGTGAGGTAAGTAACTAAGCATTAATGAAATGAAGAGAAAGGAAGTATTATTATGATTAAGTTAAATCCTCAAAGCCTTACTCAATTTTTACTCCAAGCCTGATTCTGATCTCATACCTGTGTCATTAAGGAACCACTCCTTTGATATCAGCAGTGTTACATGTGTAACATTGGTGTAATTGACATCAGGATCTCTGTTCTTACTCAGGCAAAACTCTATTGAAGTCAGTGGGGCTTCTGCTTAGATAAAGAGTAAGTGTGAACTTCAGGGTTTGGTCTTTTATTATCAGTAGATGGAGAAACTAAGGAGAAAAAGATGGGGATTTGCGCAATGGCACAGAAGGAGTCATTTTCAGAGTCAAGATTAGAATGCAGTTCCCAGTACTGTGCTATCATTCAGGAGATAAAATGGGGAATGTAAATAGTTCTTTAAAAGATTGACTTTTTGTATGTCCTTTGAGATGGGTTTGTTACTATAAGGCTAGCACAGATACTGCTGAGAACATAAAGCTATTTACCACACTTGTCTATGTATTGCACAATAGTTGTTTCAAATAATGGGTTTGTTGGATCTATTCCTATGTCTAATAATTTTATTTTTGCAATATCAGATATGTAGTTCCTATTTTGAATACTGAGTAAAAATTACTAAACTTTTCTTTAGTCTGTCTTGTGCTGAGATAGATTAAAATATTTGTTTTTGTTTAAAATTTTTTGAGTCAGGAATAATGGTTCCATTGTATATTAAAGTGTTTCCCAAAGCCCTGCTTTCAGTGAGGAGAGATTAACACCTGATTCAGACTCAGACTATCACATTCACAGAGAGTATGTGAGTAGCATCTAGGGAGGTTTTTGAGATTATGATCCTGTGCTTAGCACAATAATGAATTAGTTTTCTATTATTTCTGATTCTCAGTTCGATCTCTGTCATGAGAATTTTAAGTTCTCCTATCTTCCATTCTTATTAGTCTGTCATGAGAATGAGTTGTTATAGATTTTAATTTGCCTTGTATAGATTCCTCTTCTCATTATACATTCTTGTGATAATACCTGTAACAGCAGCAAAAATTGGCACTTTATTAATCTATTCTCATGATAAAGACCTGAGATGAAAAACATGTATAATACAAACAACCAACTCTCTAGACACACTGAAGATTTTAACATGAACAAGAAATAGCACAGTAGTTATCCTTTCTTATGGTAAAGGACATGAAACACTCTAGCCTTGTTCTTGTGATAACCCGAACATTGTAATTTTGTGGTTCATCTTGAACACTGCGGCAGGCAGAGCTGGAAATATTGCAGGTAATCTATGGCCTTCCTTAGACAATACATATATAGTTTTAATCTATATAGCCCCTGCATTTTAGGTGTGTTGTGAATTAATAACATTTGAGTTGTATGCTATATCTTTAAGGCTCTAATTTGGGTTTGTTTGTTTTACTGGCCTCCAGCATTGCAGGAGAATGTGTTGATTGGCTGTATAATGTTCTAACAAATGAATATCCAAAATACATGAGCATGTACTAGCTTCAGTAGAGATTTACATTCAAGTACCTGAGCATATTTGAATGTAAATTTTAAATGTGGAATGATGGATTCCCCCTAGAACTGTTTCTCACCAAAATTTTATGAAATTGCTTGAGAGTGTCAAAGTACAGAACTGAATTCAAAGGGTAAGTTTTTGATACACTATCTGGGAATAACCACACTTCCATTATTGAAAATATGCCAATAGGAGAGTTGTGGATAACTGAAAAGATATCATACTGAAAATGTATCCCAAAGTAGTAATATTGTGCTATTTGGCATTCTGCTTAGAAAAAACAAATTTGTTTATATCTCCCCACCTCCCCCACGTATAGTCTTTGGAAGATCAAGTATGGGACCTGTTACGTGAAGCAGACAAGACTGCAGAGGAAAACAAAGAGCAAAGCCAAGTGTATGATGCCATGGCACAGACTCTGGGGGATGCCTGGGATGCCCTCATCATTATGCTAGAGAAGCGAAGAGCACTTCTGAAACTTACTGCAGTATTTTTTGAAAATGCTCTGGAGGTTTGTATTTAAAATGAAATGCTACTTAATTTGAAACAAATCCCAATTCCTTCAAGAGTTTGTTGCATTCTATTTCTACTGATGCAAAGGGCCAATTAATTAAAAACAAAAAACAAAAAACAAAACAAAACAAAAAAAAAAACCCAGCTGCATTCCTGTTTTTGGGTATTGCAGGATGAAAATGAGCAGAACATTTAGAATGAATATCTGTAAAAATGTGATGTCTCTTACTAATGTTTTACTTAAAAAAAGTATAGTAATGAAAAATAATTAAAAATTAGTCTGTACCTATATACTGCACTGGGCATGGACATGACCTAATAGATCTCTTTCATTGTCTAACATTCAAATTATTTGACTCTTTGAGGGCCAAATTCTTAAACCCATGACTCAAGGCAGTGCATTAAAATGTGTGTGTGTGTAGTTATCATAGTTGTGCTTGCAAATAAGACCATTGCCTGTCTAGCCATCTGAGCACAGACAAATATAAGAACCACATGCATAAGCATGCAAAAAGCATGCACAGCAGCACAAATCCGGAGTCCAACTCCTGGAAAATAGGAGATTAGCAACAATTCTCCCAGTCTTATCCCTCTCCCAGCCTGCCCATGCCCCTGTATGTCCCACCCCTACTCGCTTCTGCACAGGCAGCTCATGCAGGGTGAGACTCCAAACCCAGGGGTATGTACACTCCCTGCACAGCCCACTGAATTCAACTATCCCTTACCTTTGCATTTGCAGAGGAGTGGGCTGGATTTGCCCCAAAAGTTGAGTGCACAATTACATGGGGCTCTCAAGTCTTTGTTTCAAAGAGTTTACACATGGCACAAGACCAGGAGTGGGAGAACAAGGGTTGTTTTAATCCACCTTCTTGGACCCCAGATCCTGGGGCTGATTCTGTACTGTCCTGATGCCTGGTAGAAATTAGAACAGCAGCAGGGCTGAGGCAAATTCTGCTGATTCCCAATAGTATCCACAAGCTATTCCAGCAGCCAGGGACCAGCCAGATGCCCAGACCAAGTCCTAACATCAAGGAGCCAGGAAGAGATTGGCATAGGAGCCACTATGTTAACTCACCACCTCCATAGTGTTCCCCAATGCAGGGGAAATCCTTAGACTGGTTGAGCTGCCTTTTAGGCTGCTCTGTGCCATGGGAAAATATAAAGCAACTGGAGCAGGGGCAATGGTCTGGCCCATTATGTTGAGTCATGCCTAGGTTAGACATAAATGTCCATTGTCCTATAGACTTAAACGACAATACTAGAATTTTATTTTTGAAATGTTTTTCTTGTAATGACAACATGCAATTCTGTGAAATCTTTGCTTTCTTATGATAAAGCACAAACATTATCTCAAGGATATTCTTTAATGAAAATCAAATTCAGATCCCAAATGTTGAAGCATAATGCATTTGTTGTATAGGATAAAGATCATGAGTAAAAGGGTGGAATGTGAGAATAGGCAAGCAAAGCAGAGAGCTTAATTTTCATCTTTTTAAATTTCATCATAGGTTTCAATATCCTTGATGACGCTGAAGTCCAAGTGTGAACTTTAATGATTTGGTCTTCCTTAATTTAGCAATCCCGTTACTAGAGATGGCACAAAGCTGCAAAATTCAAGTCTAGATTTTGAACAACCCAGTGTTTGATGTGGTCAGGTCTGGGTGCTGGTCACACTTATAGGGATAGAAATCATCTGCAGAATTCAGATTCTGGTCTGTGTTTGGATGCTGATCCAAAGTTCAGGGGTGTTTGGAGTCAGGGTATAGTAATGGCTCTAATAATTACAGCTAAGCATTTATCCCACTGAAGGAACAGTATGACACCAGAACTAGAATATACAATTAACCAAGAGAATAACTTGATGTAAGCTGTAATGTTAATTCACTGTCTCAAATCTTTGCTAATGCAGTTAAGGTTGACCAGCAGTGCCTCGTACCCTTCCAGAACATCAAAGGCCCTTCCAGAACATCAAAGGCACCTATACAAAACCCCCAAAATACCAACTTAAAGCACACATCAGCACTTTCTATGGCTTGTCAGCTTGGCTTGAGCAACATCGTCATTCCAACTTTTACCCTAAACAACTTTTTAAATATGGCTTCCTGTAGCGGAGATCAGTCCTAAGCAGGTGATTTCAGTTTAGAGAAGTTCAGAGTCATAGTTGACCAACTGTGTACAAAAAGTTATAAGAACTGTAAAATGTTGACATCACAATAGGTGGCTCTATCTCCAGAACCCCTAGATCAAATAACCTCAATTTTGGACCATTAACTCTCCCCTCCAGTCCCAGGAGACCCAGTAATTTTCAGGACAATCTGAGAAAGTATTTGGATTTTAGAGCACTTAGAAAAAACAGCTGTTAAGCAGTAAGCTAGTCTCAACCTTAATGATCATGGTGCTATGACCTCACTGTAATTTGCTTATTAATCTTTTACAATAACATTAGTGAGTTTAAATTTACTACCAATTTTTATCTTCAAAAAATGAGATTGAAGATTGTATCTGCCTCCAAAGTTTTCCCCAAAGATGGCTGGAATTTGGATTTTAATATGCCAAAGAGGATATGGAGGGGAGCCTTGAATAAAATCTGATTGTGAGGGAGGAAAGGTTCATTCAATATCTGATTAGGGGGATTTAAAAAAAAAAAAAACTTTAAAATTCTTAGGGGGCCTTTAAGAGCACTTTATCAATGGACTGGAGGCAGAGAAACCATAAGAGAGAAGCAAAGCCTCATAAAAAGACAAACTGTAATCACAATCCCATCAGAAAACATCCAATAAAACAAGGGAATCGATTCAAATCAGAACCTCATGAAAACAGAGGACAAACTGCTGCTCCCAAAAATGTATATTAGGAAGTTGTAATTGATAGTCACCAGAAATATTTGATACCCTTCTTTGCTAGTCTGAGAATTTGTCCCCAAAGGCATAGGTTAGATGTACTGTGACATTCTGTACTTTAAGGATTGTTGTATTATGCTTTCTCTCTCTTTGTATTCCTAATGTAGTTTGCTATTAAAATTGACCAAGTGGAGGATTTCCTTCAGAATGCCCAGGAGTTTGAGAACACTGAATCTTTGAAAAAGCTCCTTCATCAGCATGAGCATCACACAAAAGGTAAGGAATGGATTCCTTTCTTTGGCCAATAGCTCTCAGTCACATAGTTAGCCGGTTGAATTTCTAGGCTTTGAAAGATATTTTTGGTTTTCCCAAATAAATTCTTCTCTCATGAAATCACGTTTGCTATGGTAGTTTCTTTAATTGCAAAGAGAGCTCAGAGAGTGAGTATTGCTCAGTGCTTGGCAATGTCACACCTGCTAAATACAGATCTGACAAGCATTGTTAATTAATAATGGTTCCCTAAACAACTGTTCCTGCTCTCTCTCTTCTCCCCTCTGCTGCCTCCCTATTGTTTCCTCTGGCTCCTCTAACTCTTCCCCCTCCTGGCTTCCCCACACTACTACTTCATCCAGCTACCCTTTCCTGTGGGGTGAAAGTGGAGGTGGGGAGCATTCTGGGTGGCTACCAGCCAGCCTGCTATAATCCTGTGCCCCAGGGTTGAGCTCTTCTAGAAGGTTGGGGTGGGGAATGACGCATTGGTGCTGATATCTCATAGCAATCCCACAGCCTCTTGGGTGTGTACACGGGGAAGTACTGTCTGACATATGCAGCCTCCTACATAACAGTTGAGCTTTTGGAAGTGTATGGGGCAAGAGGAGTGGAGTGGCCTGGGAAATGAGCTACTGCTGGCCTCTAGACAACCTCAGACTCTAGCTGTCTGTATTGGCTTCCCTGATGTGTGCTTCTGGCTTTGTAGAGCTGCACTCTGTATAACTCCCTTGCTGAATTGTCTTGTCCCCGTGTGCAGGGAGGTTCCATTAACAGCCTAAAGTGAAGTTACAGGCAGTCAGATAGCAGCCAGGAAATAAAGTCCTCTACCCCACTTCACCCCCCCACAACACCTCATGTACCTCATTTGCACCTCTATGTTTTCTTTGCGATACTAGACAAATTTCTACAAGAAATGCAGCAGATGGGTCATTAATCTTAAAATCAAGATCTTTGTGTGAAGCATTTTCTGCCATGCCAACATACTAATCTTTTAAAAGTGGGCGGTAGGTGCCTTCCCACCATCTCAGAATCAATCTCTTTGCACAACTAAGTACAATTGCAATCTATTTTAAAAGACTAATCCCGTATAAATCTGTTTTTTCCCCACAAATCCATACACTCCAGCCGTGTAATTTTAACTAAATGTTAATGGAAACCTGTTACAGGAAACCTAACAACTGGCAGAAAATATAAACTGCAGTTGATTGTTCAGTAGTAGGGTAGCAACTTGAACATTTTTGCATTGTATAAGAAATCTAGCTGCTTCAAATGCTGGCACTCTGAATCAGATGCAATTCCACTCAAGAGACTTTAGTGAATTGAGCTCAGGTAACTTTAATATGGGCTTGGTGGTCCCAATTCAATCTTTATTGAACTGAAGTGCTCATCACACAGCAATTTTAGCTTGGAATACCTGGCAGTGACTGATTGTCATTGCTGAAAAGAGGGTCCATAATTGAAACAATCAAATGAAATTGTTTTCGAGGGAAGATAGGCTTGAGAAGGATGACTCTTACCTATAGGGATAGAAGAGGTAGCAAATGCTCCCTTTCTTCTTTGTTTATATCTTTCTAAAGTGCTAAGAATTTGGAGGATGGATAATCATAATTAATGAAAATCATGTTTGTATTTGTCTCTATGAGAAAGGCACAGCCTACTTACTCAGCAGTAAAGTTGCTGGAAACAGGGCCGGCTCTAGGTTTTTTGCTGCCCCAAGCAAAAAATTTTTTGGCTGCCCCCCCCCCCACGCTTTTTTTTGGCTTTTACACATGTTTGCACTTCGCAGTTTTGTTTTGACTGTTTAAAATTTAAAAAAATGAAAACAGAGAATTTGTAGTTAGTGAAATAAAACAATTTCCTACTAGTGTAATTTTAACATTTAATTTTAACAAAAACACAATAACAAACAATTTGAGTTCAACT